ACGCCTGTAATCCCACCACTTTGGAAGGCCAAGGTGGGTGGATCACCTGAGGACGGGAGCTCGAGACCAGCCTGGTCAACGTGGTGAAACCCCATCTCTACTAAAAAAGATACAAAAATTAGCTGGGTGGTTGCTCACACCTGTAATCCCAGCTACTGGGAAGGCTGAGGAAGGGGAATCACTTGAACCTTGGAGCATGTTTGCAAGAAGCAAACATACCTCGTCTCTGGAGGGAAGTGTCCAAATTGGGGTTCCCCAGAGATAGGCATCTCTGCGTAACATCAGGAATGTTTCTGAAATTTCTAACAATGTATAGTTGTTAGATGTTTCTTACATTCCTGCGTAACATCAGGAATGTTTCTGAAATTTCTAACAATGTATAGTTGTGCGGTGAGCCAAGATCAAGCCATTGCACTCCAGCCTGGGTGACAGAGAGAGTCTACGTCTCAAAAAAAAAAAAAAAAAAAAAAGTTTACAAAAATAAATGGTTGGAATATGTTTTCAGGCTAAGTGTCTTAAATCGTTTCTAGAGTTAAGAAAAAAAAAAATCCGTTGTAAGCGTTTATCCAGGTGTGATCATACTGTAGAGAATTGGTCCCCGTCATCCAAACTTTGGAGAGTCTGATACACAAGAATGTTATTTAGTATGATCAATAAATTAATAAACTAACAATCATTTAAATCTAATATTTTATATCAGTTGGTATAACCAATTAGGAGTTTAGATGACAGAGGTGTTCATCTACCTCAGGAGAAGGAATGATGCTTAGATTAACAGCCTAAGAGAATATTTCTAGCAGATACTTAATATTATTTATTAGAGATGCTTACCTGGAGGCACAATGATACATCGTTCTAAGCCATTAAAACTTTTTATAGTAATTTATTTTGACTGTTTCTTATTACTCGTACAAAAGAGAAAATCAGATTAAAGAAAGCTTGGGTGATCAAAATTAATCCTTTTTATTATTTTTATTTGAAATTGGTATTTTTTTTTTTTTTACTTTGGAGTTGCTCTTGACAGTAGTTAAGAAAGATTTTGAAATTCTTGTCTATTTTGTGGATGTTTTAGATGATTTTTTTAATTTTTATTTTTTATTTTTATTTATTTTTGGTCTTTTTTTTAATTTTAGGTTTTGGGGTACATGTGAAGGACATGCAAGATTGTTGCATATGTACACACATGGCAGTGTGATTTGCTGCCTTCCTTCCCATCACCTATGTCTGGCATTTCTCCCCATGCTTTCTCTCCCCAAAGATGATATATATATATATATATATATATATATATATATATTTTTTTTTTTTTTTTTTTTTTTTTGAGCCAGGTTCTCATTCTGTCACCTGGGCTGGAGTGCAGGAGCACAATCATGGTTCACTATAGCCTCCACCTCCCAGGCTCAAGAGATCCTGCCATGTCAGCCCTCCAAGTAGCTGGGACTGCAAGCACACACCACCATGCTTGGCTAATTTTTGTACTTTTTGTAGAGGTGGGGTCTTCCTGTGTAGCCCAGGCTGATCTCAAACTCTTGGGTTTAAGCAAACTACCCACCTCCGACTCCCAAAGTGCTAGGATTACAGGCCTGAGTCACTGCGCCCAGCCTTAAGATGATTTTAGATTCAGGATTTAAGGTCTTAGAACCATAACATTAAAAAAAATTTATTATGTATATTTTATTTAGGTCCAGTACTTCCCTATGTTTTAACTACAGAGTATAAGAAACTGAATATTGTAAGCAGAATAATGAAAAAAGTCATTATATATACTGGTTTACTTATAGAATATAAGTTTCTGAACTGTGGAACTACTAACTTAAGGCTTAATGATTCAAATTAAGAAGTGACAGGAGATTCTGTAAAATTCGTGGGTTTCTCAGGAGGATCTAATAAATAATACTTCCTTTTCTACTTTGGTTTTGAACCAATTAACAAGAGTGGCATATGTGGGCCAAAATAACTTTATTACTGATTAAAATATATTTTGAAGATGTGTCTTAGTGGGGCGGGCATATGGATACATTAACCGAACCACAAAACATATAGGCTTGTACACTCACTCATGGAAGTGCCAATCCAGTGAGGAGGCTGAATAAGTGCCCCCTCCCTCATGCTCCCTAGCTAGGCTAGATCTCAAGAGGAAGATGAGTGAGGCTGAGGCTAACATACAGTATTTTCTTCACAATCAGGTAATTTATTCCATAAGTGGGTATATTAATTAGCTGAGGCTGCTGTAACAAATTACCACAAACTTGGTGGCTTAAAACAATGGAAATTAATTTTCTCACAGTTTTGCAGGCCAGAAGTCTAAAAGGATCAGCAGGGTTGGTTCCTGTTGGAGGCTCTGAGGGAGTATCAGTTCCATGCTTCTCTCCTAGCTTTTGGTAGCTGTAGTGGTCCTTGGCCTTTTTCGGTTGTAGATGCATAACTTTAATTTCTGCCTTCATTTTCACATGGTGTTTATACCCCGTCTCTCTCTGTTTCCCTTTCTCTCCTAAGGACACTCATCATTGGCTGTAGGGCCCACTATTTCACAATGTTCTTATCTCTGGATCCTTACCTTAATTATATCTGAAAACAGCCTTGTTCCCAAATGAGGTCACATTTATAGGTTCCAGGTAGACTTGTCTTTTGGTGGGGCCACTATTTAACCGACTAAAAGGGGTGGAGAGGCCAGAAGTTGGATTAATTAAATAAGTAAAGTTGCTGCTTGCTTGGAATTCAGCACTTGGGACAGGTGTTTCTCCCTATCCTTCATTCCTCAGATCTTTGTTCTCATAGTCAACCAGATGTAGGAGATCACCAAAATAGTCCTATTCCTGCTCTGTGTTTGCATCATTGGCATATCTTCAATTTGTGTTTCTTTGACAGAATCTTTTAAAGTGACTTACCCATTTTATGAGCATTAGTAGGGAAAACTAGGTAATGTGATACATATGTCCATTTAACTGTGCACAAAGAACAGGCAGTTGGTCACAATACACTGAAAACAAGGGAAGGTGTCATCCCAACACCAAGGGAGTTAGAACTACCAAAATTCCACAAAGATGCTTAGTTACCTGTTTTGTATGGCTTGAATAAGGGGTACGATTATTGCTCTGGATATCAAATATTGGTAAAGTTGGACTTTTTTTGGCTACTAAACATTAAATAAAAGCAAATGTTTTCCTCCTACATTTGAATGGAAATATAGCGCCTAGGATGCATGAGTCTCACTTTGCAACACATAGGCCTAGATCATCACCAACTGTGTGGTGGGTTTTTTGCAATGATGTAAGTGGCCTAACTCCATGCTCTCCATGTATAGAACACTTGAAATATGGCTAGTATGATTGAACAATTGAATTTTAAATTTCACTTAATTTTAATTAAATGCAAATTTAAATAGCTACATGTGGCTGGAGGATTGTCTTGGACAGCACAGACTAGATATTTGTCAATGCCTAGGCTGAAAATACTGGGTACCAAAATAAACAGAATTACGACTTTACAATAATTATAACATGCCCGTGATAAATGTCCTTATTTTAATGGCATTAACAAAATCAAAAGAAAAAGTTCATCCTGAATTAGCGGCTTATCTATACTTGTTAAGAGTTTTGGATTTGCTTCAACTTGAAATTTTTTTCTTAAGTGAAAATTAGACGAAATTTTAGATTCTCTTTTCTAATTATATTCTCTAGGCCTAAATTTATTGTAACAAAATTATTCCTTTTTTAGGCAAAATACTGGTAAATATGGAGTAGAAATTTTTCAACTTGGGAACATGCTTGCTCAAGAAATTTAGTGTAAATATTTGTCAGTCATTTTACATTTCTCTTTGCTGAAAATATAAATTAATATGAACAGAAAAATTGTACTTAAAAGCCTATTTTTAAGAAAGTCTTTCTCCCCTAAGGTATAATACTACTTAAAGATGTAGAAATTGTCACTTTAGTTAAATTTATTTTTCAGACATGTAAGCAGATTCTACTGTTATTTCTCAACTGTGCTCTATTTGTTTTATTTTTATATTTTTATCTTTGAAATTTGGCTAACACATATGGCATTAGATTTAATATCAGAGTGAAAGTTTTTATTTTAAAAAGGAAAATGTAAAAATATGTTAATTACAACTCATACCTCTTGAACTTTATGTAGTTTTGGTGGTATTGTATTCTTCATGTATACCAGAAGAGGGTGCACTTTAAACTTACTGTCTTTAAATAGAAAGCATTGTTTTGTTGTTGTTTTGAGATGGAGTCTAGCTTTGTCACCTCAGGCTGGAGTGCAATGTCTTGATCTCAGCTCACTGCAACCTCCACTTCCCAGATTCAAGAGATTCTCTGCCTCAGCTTCCCAAGTGGCTGGGATTACAGGTGCACACCACCATGCCCAGTTAATTTTTGTATTTTTAGGAGAGACAGAGTTTCACCGTGTTGGCCAGACTGAGGTCACAAGCTCCTGACCTCAGTTGATCCTCCTGCCTCAGTCTTTCAGGTGATCCGCCTGCCTCAGTCTTTCAAAGTGCTGGGATTACAGGTGTGAGCCACCACGCCCAGTCCAGAAAGCATTTTTTTGGACTGCTGCCATAAATTTGATTCCCTTAAAAAAACTGCAAAGTTCTTTATTTTCAAAATATCCCTTAATGTACAAGTAGGGAGAAGCGGGATATATGTGTGTGATTTAGAGTGCATAAGGCTAACAATATCAATAAATAAACCTTTCATCCAGAAATATAACTTTGTTTTTCTAGGGTTTTCTTTTCTCATTACCTTCTGAAAATAAATTCAGAATTATTAAAGAAAAATTGTTCTTTAGGAGACCTTTTTGAAGTTTTTCGTTTCAATATCAAAACAAACAAAAACCTGATAATATGTAACTTCAGTTTCGCTCTTAATTGAAGGTATTACAAATCATAAAGCATGACCATTAAGGAAAAGAGAAACACTATAAATGAAAGTACAGCCATGAATAGAGTTTCATGACTAGATAGTGATTTTTATTCTTTTGTGTTTTGACAGCTTGAAGGTCCATGTGTTTTGCAAATTCAAAAAATTCGCAATGTTGCTGCACCAAAGGATAACGAAGAATCTCAGGCTGCACCAAGGATGCTGCGATTGCAGATGACTGATGGTCATATAAGTTGCACAGCAGTAGAATTTAGTTATATGTCAAAAATAAGGTGATTGGCACTTTATTTTGTGTATTTGTTATAGAGTGTTGAAGGTGCTATTCAGTGGAATAATTTAAGAATTTCGAAAAGGAGAAGTGGACCCTTACATTATAACTTTTCAGAGGAAATTAGAGAGCTTTGCATTTCTGCTTTATCTATATAAAAATAGTTAAGAATAGTATGGCCTGGGGAGGTGAGTCACGCCTGTAATCCTAGCACTTTGGGAGGCTTAAGGGGGTGGATCACCTTAGGTCAGGAGTTCAAGACCAGCTTGACCAAAATGGTGAAACCCTGTCTCTACAAAAATACGAAAATTAACTTGGCATGATGGCGGGTGCCTGTAATCCCATCTACTTGGGAGGCTGAGGCAGGAGAATAGCTTGAACCTGGTAGAGGGAGGTTGCAGTGAACTGAGATCATGCTGAGGGAATGTGTTCTCCTTCCATGTCCACAAGGGGGCGTAGTTTTAAGGGCAAGAACTTCCCTGCACCATGCCCCCTCCCTTCTGTCTTCTTCGGGGAAATTTAACGGTTTATGTTTAATTTTACTGCACAGGAAGAAACTAAGAAACTATTTTTGTATATTTAGTAGAGACAGAGTTTCACCATATTGGCCAGACCGAGGTCACAAGCTCCTGACCTCAGGTAATCTGCCTGCCTCAGTCAATCACTCCAGCGGAAGCTTAGAGAAACTCCTTTCATTGGCCAGAGGAACTTGGGGAGGTGGGAATTTCTCCCATGATAAATTTCCCTGCTCCTTCACCCACACCGGATTTCCAGCTCTCTGGAATCTCCTCCCACATAGTGGGAGCTCCCTTTCCTTTCTTGGATTTCCCCCCTGGAGTTCCCTTCCACGCTCTTCGTGGAAATTTTTCTCTCTTCTCCTTTTTTCCCCTCTTTACCTAAATAAAATCACCTTTCTGCAACATTTCTTGGGTCGGGTTTTTCCATTCAAGCTTACAGCACACCTGCAGTGGTACCCTTTCTCATCCTTGAAATAGCGGAGACCAAAAACCTACGACATTCTCGCGGGGGAGCTGTGCCTCACCTGTACCCTAAAAACCCGGTTACAATGCCATTGCACGCTAGCCTGGGTGACAGAGTGGGACTCCAGTTCAAAAAATAAAATAATAGAAAAAAATCGTAGTTAAGAATATAGTTACTTCTTGATTCAGTGTTAATTATAAAAACAAATTTATGGTGTTCTTGTATGAAAATAATATTTTTAGTTTTGTCTGATATTTTAGGTTACTCAGTTGTTTAGAACAAACAGAATTTTTAAAAATATGGTTTCATCTTTGACAATTCAGTAGCTATGTATAATAGTGTGTCCATCATACTGTGTAATGTTCTTGCAGTTTTATAGGCTAATGAATTTTCCTAGGAAATGATTGAAGTCAGGGAGGTTTGTGACTGACTTCAGTCATTTGCTAGGAAATGATTGGGAATGATTTTCCAAATCCTTCATTTGGTTATTTTAATAAGAGACTTTTAGAGTTGTGCCCAGTGGAATGGAAGAAAGCAATAAGAAGGAAGGGAAAGTGTCCCCTTTATTTTCAGTGTTTCTATTTGGCCATTCTGAGCTCTGTTTTCTGAGGTGGAAACTTCCACTAGACATTTGCATCCCTCCTCCCACCTGCCTTTTTTGGTCTTCTTTGTCATTTTATATGCTTACATTTGCAGCTTGGCTCCTCAGCTTTTTCACTTAATATGAACTCCTATATCATACTTTTCTCTTGAGCAGGCATTTATCAGGTGTTCCAGCCCTTTACCAGTGTTGCAGGTACAAAGGTAAACGGGGTTTAGATTTCAGCCTCTTAGTAGCTCATATGCTAATGAGGTAGCACTTAGGCATGCAAATATTATAAGAAATATATGAACTGAAATTACTAAGAGTCCCGAAAATTACTTCTGCCTAGGGTAACCAGGAGTGGGTTTAAAATATGAGTAGGTGTTTTAAGGTGGGGAGGGAATAGCACATGCAAAGACACAGTGTTCTGACAACAGAAAGACTGAGAAGTAACATTTGGTGGAACGTAGGTGATTTAGAACAGTGGTTATGTGAGAAGATATGTGTTAGGTTGAGGCCTTGTATGATATCTTCAATGATTTGTCTTCCTTTTTCTTCCTTTATCTGGTATTTGCATCTGGTAAATTAGGCCCCCTCCTCAGAAGTTGTAAGTTTGTCTAAAATGTTAATTCCTGTACACTAAGGGAGATTTGTTGACTTTGTGATTATGTTGTCTTCTTTTTGAAGAATAAGATTCCTACTTTTGTGTAGAAACAGCTTTTCAAATTATGACAAATTCAGTCACACCCCTTGCAAGGGAGCTCACAGATGACTCAGAAGGAAGACTTGCCATGTAATGGCCCACTCTCTGATTTTATGGCTGTATATTTCTCTGAGTAGTAAAAACACAAGGTCAGTTTAGCATTGGGCAGTTGTAGCATTGGTAAGTTATAGCCTACTCTGCCCAATGCTGTCTACTGTCATCCCTTGTTGAAAATATTTGAAAGATATTTTACCAAATAAGTTTGTAGTTATCTTAGAAGGAAGATGAAACAACTTTTTAGATAGGATAAACCAGGTGCTGATACAGATGTGTTACCTTACGTGGGCTTTGCATTTCTCTGAGGTGCTTGTTTCTACTCTTCTGTCCCACCTTCTGCCCCATTCCTTGCTTTTTTTTTTTTTTTAATTGCAATGAAGAGAGATTAAAGGAACCTTGGGATGCCAATAAAAATATTAACTAAACCAAAATATGTTTTCTTAATAAGAATTAATTATGGTTCTGAAGGTGATAGTAAAAATTGTATTAAAATTTTAGTCCCTGAGTAAAAAAAAGAACAAAGCTGGAGGTCTCATATTTATTACCTGGTTTCAAACTACACTACAAAGCTATAGTAACCAAAATAGCATGGTACTGGCATAAAACCAGACACATAGACCAGTGGAACAGAATAGAGAACCCAGAAATAAGTCCATATACTTATAGCCAACGCATTTTCAACAAAGGTATCAAGAACATACATTGGGAAAAGGGCAGTCTCTTTAATAAATGGTTCTAGGAAAACTAGATAACCATATGTAGAAGAATGAAATTTCCATCTCTCACCATATAGAAAAATCAGCTTAAATGTGGCCGGGCATGGTGGCTCACACCTGTAATCCCAGAACTTTGGGGGGGTCAAGGTGGGCAGATCACCTGAGGTCAGGTGTTCAAGACCAGCTGGGCCAACATGGTTAAACATGGTGGTACACACCTGTAACCCCAGCTACTCGGGAGGCTGAGGCAGGAGAATCACTTGAACCCAGGAGGCAGAGTTTGCAGTGAGCTGAGATCATACCATTGTACTCCAGTCTGAGCAACAAGAGTGAAACTCTGGCTCCNAAAAAAAAAAAAAAAAAAAAAAAAAAAAAAACCGCTTAAATATAAGATGTGAAATTATGAAATTACTAGAAGAAAACATTGGAGAAATGCTTCAAGACATTGGTTTGGGCAAATATTTTTTGGATAAGACCTAAAAAACATAGGCAACACAAGTAAAAAGTAGACATTTGGGATTATATCAAACTAAAAAGCTTCTGCACAGCAATGGAAACAATGAACAAAGTGAAGAGACTACCTACAAAATGGGAGAAAATATTTGCAAACTATCCATTTGACAAGGGATTAATATCCTGAATATATAAGGAGCGCAAAAAAAAAAAAAAAAAAAAAAAAAAAAAAATCCATTTAAAAATTGACACAAAAGACCTGAATAGACATTTCTCTAAAGAAGACATACACACAGCCAACAGGTATGCGAAAAACTACCTAGCATCACTAATCAACGGAGAATGCAAATCAAAACAAAAGTGAGAGATCATCTCACATGGTTAGAATGCCTGTTATCAAAAAGACAGAAAATAACTGCTATAGTTTGGATATTTGACCTTCCAAATCCTATATTGGAATTTGATCCCCAGTGTTGGAGGTAGGGCCTAGTGGGAAGTATTTAGGTCATGGGGGAGCAGAGCCCTAATGAATGGCTTGGTGCCATCCTTGCAGTGAGTTCTTACTCTGTTAGTTCCTGTGAGAACTGGTTGTTAAAAAAGAGCCTGGCACCTCTCTCTTCTCTTTCTTGCTTGCTTTTTTCATGTGTTCTGCATATACCCCTTTGCCTTCTGTCATGAGTGAAATCGTCACCAGAATTGAATGCTGATGCCATACTGCTTGTACAGCTTGCAGAACTATGAGCCAAATAAACCTTTCCTTATAGATTATCCAGCCTCAGGTATTCCTTTATAGCAACACAAATAGACTAAGACAATAGCAAATGCTGTTGAGGATGCAGAGAAAGGGGAATGCTCAAAGACAAATATTGCATGTTCTCACCCATGTGGGAGCTAAAAAAAATTGATCTCCTGCAGATAGAGAGTAAAATGGCAACTGGGAAGGATAGTGGGGAGTGAGTGATAGGAGGGGATTGGTTAATGGGTATAAAAATACAGTTAGATAGAAAGAATAAGATTCAGTAGTGTAATAGGGTGACTGTAGTTAACAGTAATTTACTGAATATTTCAAAATGATTAGAAGAGTAGATTCTTAATGTTCTCAGCAAAGAAAAGATAAATGTTTGAGGTGATAGATATCTCAGTTACCCTGATTTGATCATTACACATTGTATATATGTGTCAAAATATCACATATGCCCCCAAAATATGTATAATTATGATATCAAAAAATAAAAATTTAGCCCCTATTCCCTTTTGTGGGAGTAGAACTTGGATTTAATCTGGTGAGACTATCAATTGTTCCAATGAAATTGTAGGTCCAGCTTCAAATAATTTGACTACATAGATCTTAGGTAAATAATCTAATTCATTGGCAGTTTCTTTAGAGGAAAAGAGTACAGTAGCCTGGTGTCCTTAGTGTTTATTTTTATTTATCCCTATACGTTGACTGTAAGAGTTATGAAAGTCTGGATTTGCTGATTGTCTGGAATTGGGAACACTTCTTCACGCTT